TAGCAGAATTATTGAAGAAGTTATGCCAATGGTGAAAAAATAAAAGGTGCCAAGGTGAACGCATAGCGACTGTCGTCTGTTAAACGTTGGGCCAGGATTGAGCCCTAGGCCTGCTGAGAGTAAGTGAGTGCTTTCCTAATTTTGGGTAACCTGACCTGATGAGTAGAACTGAAGCACACCCGTGAACCGTAAGGCTAGGCAACTCAGAGTTTTGTAGCGCTGTCTGGGAGCTCTCACATATGCATACTATTTCACAGCATCTCTGCTTTCTTTATTCTCTGCTTTCTTTATCTCCTCAAGAAGGCTTAGCCCTAGTACTACGCAAAATGTATGCTTTTGCACTTGCAGTCTCACCCGTTGATTGGTAGAAGTCTTGTAACCCGCTTGTGAACGGTCGAAGGAACCAAATGGACTAATACGGTAACCAGATACAGTATCTCTCAGCTGTATATAGACGGTGATCGTTTAGGTCCAGCAATGGTCTCCACGTCTAGAAGCGTTCCGATTTCCGAACTCCGCTCGCTTGCGGCTTTGGAAGATCCCTGATATTCTACTACCACTCTTCTCTCTCTCTCTCAGTTCTCACTGACCCTATCTTAAAGATCAGACGAAAGCGGTTAAACTACGGGTCCCTAATTGAACCCGTGTAGACAGTATTTAGTGACCATATAATGGATGATCTCTGATTACTTGCCAAAATGATCTTTCAAGCATATATCAAAGCTATGGGTGGTATTTATCGATCGATAAAACCCGGCATTGGCCTTCTTTAGGAAACAAATTTTCTCGTCAAACTTCGTTCATGAGCCAACACAGCTGCTCATACAGTAACAAAGAGATTAGGAGGAGGAACAATCGAGAGAACAGTTCATTTCCGATTTCCGATATCACCTCTTAAATCATTTCCAAAAACTACACTAGTTTTACAATGAGGCCCCTTTCTGTCGAGGATCCATAGTGGTAGCCAAATAAGGTGTTCAGCATATGAAGGGAACTATTCTGGACCTTTCCCTCCACGTGGTGGTCAACCGTACGCTACGCAGTTCTCAGATGGGGAGGGGTCGTACTTTCGGGTTGGTGAAGGCGAAAAGGTTGAAGAAAGGCCGCTCCGTTTTGAAGGGGAAAAAGGGGGGAGTTGGACTGTGTCGACTGATCTGCGAGTCAAATCAGCCATGACGTGATGGTAGAAGATGGGGAGCAAAGGTCGTATTTGGGGTCCTTCTGAGACTGATCGAGTGGGGGGGGGATATTGGACCCCTTATAATCGAGGATGTCTTAAAATTCTTGAAGTCTGTGCACGTTGACCATAAGTCTAACAGCCCCCTGGGCAGAAAAAATGAATCTTAGGTTCACTGATACATCCAAAACCATCTTACACCATCCTACACAGCGGTTCGAACGCGATCTACACTTACGTCATGATCATTCTTGACCGCAGGCGTTCTGAAGCTAACCCAATATTATGTGATTATTATGTAATTAATCGACCTAGTAATTATCACCCGTCCACGTAATTCATAATAATAATAATTATTGTAATTGTTATTAAGTTGTCATTAGTAATAATCTACTTATTAGTTCTCCTACAAAGAACGCTGATACAAGCAAATGTTATTCTGATAATTTTGATACCGAGTGATACAAAGTGATCATTGCCTAATCGATAGATGGCCTCAGAAAAAGACTTCTAAAATTTGTGTTTAGAATTTATGAATAAAATTTATGTTTCTTTCATGTTTTTCATATTCAAATACTGTCGAAATAACTAACTGTTAGGAGGGTGTGGTGTTGGGGGAAGGGGCTCCGTGGAGGGGTTCGACTGCGGTTTTCAACGAAACTAAATTAGTACCACTTGACACACTTTGACCCCACTCTCACAGCTCAAACATCGCAGCAGAAGGAAATTGTGGCTTCTTAAACAGCAAAATAGACCTATTTCACACGTTACGACTCTTACCCTCCGACCTCCCCCCCTGAAGTTCATACGAACTGTCGCTTGAAAATCACACAGTAGTTTCCGTTGTTAGACTTGGCACAACGGACTGTTGACCCTTTACCCGTGGAGGTTTTGAAGCCCCGTAGACCAACAAAGAGTGTTCTATCGAACAAGCAGTGTGAAGGTGAGCGGCTTAAGCGGCTAAGCTGTTTACTAAGAAGATAAATCTGTAAACAAGTCTCAATGACACTTTTTCTCGTTCACACTGTGTAGTTGCAGCTTTAGCGGCTTAGACCATTCCTGTTGTTTGAATCTCAGTTGAGGTGGATTCGTTACAAATTTGGGCGCTATCGCAAAATACGGGGGCATTGTAGCGGAAGTACATTTAAAACACGTAAAAGATCTTCTTTTTGCTGAAAATGGGTCTAAGCATCAGGTGAAGGAGGAGAGACCCCAGTGTTTAAGCAACTACCATTTCCCCCCAAGTTACTGCCCTTCATAGGCTCTGCCCTGAAGGATGCCCCGTATCCTGCGATAGGCCAAAATTCACCCACGGCTCAATGGTTTCACCATGTTTCTTGCTTTACCGCCCTGCCGGGTAGACGCGGCCCAAAAACTCAATCCGGGTGAAACTTTGAGTGAGTGAAAGAAATTGCGAACAAATCGGAAACGGATTGGGGACAGATTAAATTAGTAGAGACTACTGAAGACTAGATTTCAAAGCTTCTTCGCTAAATCTACTTTGGGATCGCAAAGACGTAGACGCTCGCGAGCAAAGAATTCTCCAAGTGATCATCGACCAAACTTCACCCCACCATAACCCAATTATTCAACTTCCGGGGCTATCGCAAGATACGGGGCACTACGGTGGCAATGGATTCAAAATCGCGTGAGAGATAGACTTTTGTCAAAAAACGAAGCTGATCCTCACGCGGGAGAGGAGAAGCTACAAAAGGTCTGACATTTTCACTTCCTTGCCCTCCTTGGCTTAGTCCTACAAAATGCCCCCTTATCTTGTGATAGCGCCAAACTTCTCTTGCAGCTGCGACCTCGGCAAAACCCCTTCTGTGGCTTGAGGCCTTAGGGTCAAACCCGTCCCGCGTATCATCATTATTTCAAAAACCTTATGATTATTATAAAGCATCGAATCTGAGCGACATCAGCGAAACACACAGCGACAATCGAGCGACAAATATCAAAGTATAAACTCACTATGAGATCGGCGACCGCGAGCGAGAATATCAGATAGTACTGTGGTCGTCCGCGTAGATCACGTTCACAGGCGATAGCGATGATAACGAACAGATTACCGATAACACAGAACAGAATCAGCAACAGCAGCACAGCGGCTAACGTCACCGCTTCCATAAACGGTCGTAGCGAATCGTCGGGTGTGGCGAGCGATGGCGACAAAATGTCGGCGCCGACTGCCGCTGCTGCAGCAGCTGCAGCAGCTGAAATTGGCTGCTTGCCATCCGTGGCGGTGTCATACTCCATGCTAAAACCCGGTGACGTGAGCGGTGGACAGCAGTATGCGTTTCACTTAGCATCGTTTTCGCTCGGTTTATGTGTGATTCATCTTAAACGACGTCAGAGTAAGTTGACCCGAGTGGTAACCCGGAAGGGTAGACGATAACTTGGCGCTAGTGGATCGATTTGTCTGGGTGAATGGATGTGGGAGAAAAACTTTGGAGGTTCAGATGTGCGTGTGTGTGTGAGTGTGAGTCTGATGAGGATGCGTGTTAGTTAAGGAGGCGGCATTGATGTGCGAATAAATGGCCAACGAACGATGACGAGTAGAAGAGCTCGAGAACGAAGCGCTCTGAGCTTGCCCGTGAGCCGGCCTGCTCTTTAGCGCACAGGTTGCCCGAAGAGATAAGAAAAATCAATAAGTAGTAATTTGAGAAGATAGATCCTCTTTGACGAGAGTCCACCACGGGAAAACTCCACGCGGTGGGGAAACCCCGGGTAGGATTCCCTCGTCTTGGACGGTGATGTTCCCATGGGATAAGTAAATAGACGGAACATCAGAGACCTTCAAAACATTCCCCGCCTTTGAGATTTTAACTGAAAAAAGCGAAAAGTCCATTGCAAAATCAATTTTCCCCCGCAGAAAAACCGCACAATTTTTCGATGTCGGTTGACTTTTTGAGTGTGTGCCATTTGAAAGGTCAGGAAATCTAATGAGCTCGCTGGGAGCCGCTCAGGTTGTACTTTTTCTGCTAGCGCATTTTTCAGCGTGTGTGTGCGCGCGCTAAAAGTAGCTGCTAGAAAATAGCTGAGCACTGAGCATATGCACATATCGCTATGCGAGAATGCGAGAACAGATTCCGGGTTGCAAGACCCGGGGAATCCATCGCAAGGCTCAAGTAAGGCCCCGATTGAAACACCCCAATGGTTCGAAGGTTACCGTGAAAATCAGAAAATCAGTGAAGTCAAGAAAATCAAGCAATAAGTATGAAACCGGAACAAAAGTCTGTTCAATCTGGAATAGAGTTGGCGAATGCCGCAAAGGTAGAAGGTGTTCAAACAAGCAACATCTCCTTCAAATAGAAACGATTTTCCGAGAAGCTAGAAACGATAATTGAACATATACTCGTTAGATAAGTTTTTTATTTATCGATTATTTATCATTATTTGTTATTAATATAATTATTAATATTCAATAATTATTCGCCATACATATAAAATGAAAAACAACGATGAATCAAACTATAACCGAGAATTTCGACAGATTCGTGATTGTAGATAACCATTTATTATTATTATTATTATTATTATTATTATTATTATTATTATTATTATTATTATTATATTATTATTATTATTATTATTATTATTATTATTATTATTATTATTATTATTATTATTATTATTATTATTATTATTATTATTATTATTATTATTATTATTATTATTATTATTATTATTATTATTATTATTATTATTATTATTATTATTATTATTATTATTATTATTATTATTATTATTATTATTATTATTATTATTATTATTATTATACGTGTGAGTGCTGAAAGCTATGGTACGTATACCATGAAAAGCTGAGTTGGGAATGAAATGGTGCCCCGGTAGCGTAACTGGTAGCGCACTTGCCCGGAAAGCGAGAGGTGCGGGTTCTAGTCCCGCCTGGGGCGAAAGTTTTGTTCACAACCCAGCATTCTTGTGAAACATTCGCAACGCGAACTGCGGCGTTAAAACAGCAGTTAACAAACAAAACAAGTCAAATTAGTGTTATTATATTGTATTATTATTATTATTATTATTATTATTATTATTATTATTATTATTATTATTATTATTATTATTATTATTATTATTATTATTATTATTATTATTATTATTATTATTATTATTATTATTATTATTATTATTATTATTATTATTATTATTATTATTATTATTATTATTATTATTTCACGAAGTTCGTGGGTGTGACACGAAACATTCATCCCAGACGGGACTCGAACCCACACCTCTTTGCTTACCGGGCAAGTGCGCTCCAAGCTACGCATATTGATAATATATTGATGATATCAATTATTGCTATTATTTATTGCTCCCTGTCTTTTACCTCCTCTATTATTATTCAGTTATTTTTATTGATTTTTTTTATACTGAATAATTATAATATATACAAATATAGTAGTTGAAATCATAAATAAATCATAAACATATGTACCTGCAGTTACTGTATGACTGCCGTCATTACTAAGTACTCTGCAGATACAAAAACTATTTGCGGATTTACAGCCTATAGAGTAGTGCAGCAGTGAAGGGTGCCGCTATCATCAGTGTATGATTAACGAGTCGTAAGTTCGCTTCCATTCCACTGAGGGACAAAATTTCCAAAAAAAAAATGAGCGCTTGGATTCTTGAGGGGTTGTAGAACAAAAAATTTGGCGCTATCGTAATATACGGGGGCATTGTGGTGGCATTACAACCTCCTCCGCCGGCCTAAAAAAAGTGTCTCTTTGGTTGTAAACGAACTAAATTCCCGAGGGTGGGCGAACTCCACTGTGCGCTAGCCATCTTTCATTTTTCACGGAGCTCCTGCCGCTACTGGGCTTAGTCCTGTGAGATGCCCCTTAAATTGTGATAGCGCCGAAAATGTAGTTGAAGACCTAAGGATTCAGAAAGACCAGTGTTCACACTTTAATGAATCAGTTCCCCAGTATTAACAGCCAATACTCCCGAAGGTCTCCAAATTTGAGGGAAAGACAAGTGCATGGCGCACTCTAAATAAAAGATGAAAGGAGTAACGACCTACCTACCAACACATAGGTTTAGTATATGCTCGTTTTAGTATGTAAAAATTTGATAAGAGAATCATCTGATAAATTCTGTCTCTGTCACCAGCTTATCAGCTGGTTTATTTATTTTTGTTTACTTATTTACTTAATGGAACGATGTAAAGATAAAATTCCTAGACCGAAGGATAAACGGGATAGGGTGAATAAGAATCGGCCGAAAGCGTGCGGCGGAATGAATAAATAATTAAAATTTCAAAAGCTCAATAATCAAGAAATCAATATGTATCATTTTCGCGACGGGTCTCCGTTAGCTCGTCGGAAACGCTTCTTTCGTCGTTTCGACGACGCTCGGATGTCGTCTCGTCGTCGTCTCGAGCTGACAACGTGATTGAATCGGTGAGCCTAGGGCCGAAATGAGAACAACGAGTGGCTGGCTGGTGATGACGTGGACGGGGAGAGCGAGGCGATTAGCTGTGCCCCTGGCCGGCTGGCCGGCCGGTGCGTGAGGGGATGTCAAAGGGCTGCTTTGAGCCGTCTGTCGCCGGTCGCGTGAGACGAGAGTAGCATCAAGAACTCGAAGAGATAACTGCCAATGAAGTCCGAGAAGAGAAGCTTCAGTTCACCAGTACGTGTGGGTGGAGGGACCAAATCACGACCGGGGGAGGGGTGGGAGGTTGCGGGAATACCCACATCGTCGCGGCAGAGCTTATGGGTGGGGTGGCAACCGCTTGGCGCGCGTAAAAACACAGTGAGCAAACAAAAGGCGATAACATGAAAACTGACTATCCGGCGGGGGGCTTGTCGTCGAGCCATCCAGCCAAGCCGATGAAAGGATTTGTACCCAGGCCGTGTGTGTGTGTGCGTTCACTCAAGGATTTCTCTTCAGCGCTCATCTATCATATTATTTACACACATCGGTCGGGGGTGGTGTTACCCCCCCCCTCCCCCCCCCAAACGCCCATTTCAAAGCTTTCGGATGTGTACAGAGACACCCACAGAAAAGTGCATATACACATACACACCATGAATCCGCTCAGCTGCTCGGATAGACGGCTTGAAATAAGCTTGGCCAATGAGACACCCGTTTGTGTGCTGTTCTGCTGTGGGTTCTATCACTGACATAATTGTGCAGGAAGGAGGGGGGGGGGTGGAGAGGTGAGGTTACGTACCCAAGGCGCCTAAACCCTTGCTTGGGTTCTTTTTCGAAAACGTAGCCATTTCAAGGCAGTTTGTTCCAGCCCAGGCGTTTTTTCCACAAGCCGTTGAATAGAACCCAGCGAAGGGGCTCATTTTCATTCAGCAGTTCCAAAAATGCGGAAAGGGGAAAAAAGAAGGGTAAAAAATGGTTCAGGGTTCGATCTCTCATTAAGGCTAAATTTGCAGCAATTTTTCCACACCCCTTTTTGGCATGTTTAGATCATACGTTTCCAAGTTCGGTCCCCACCCGCCGAAAGTGGAGTACTCGGAGAATCTATTTTGTTATTCTTGTTTACGGGCGAAATGACAACTGCAAAAAAGGAAGCAGATTGGAGGGGCAATTGTGAGGATGCTCAAGAGGAACCCCGGAGAAATCAATATGTAATCTTAAAAATGTCCAGATTCACTTGGTACATAAATACATGACTTGTATGTAGAGCATGGCGCATCCCAGAGGAGTCGATCCCTCCCCTGGAACCTAATTTGTCACACTTCACTTGCGGGAACAAAATTAAAATATTGTCAGGACCATGAATTTTTTTCAGAACTCACATGGACACGAGTTTATCGGGTATCTTCCCACACTCAAAATGGCAATATTCTCACTTAGTTCATTACCAAGCGTGCAAGTATGTCATCGGCAATGTTTGTTGGGGGTTGAAGAGCTGTGTTCATCTGTGACGAAGAAATCGCTACCTAGCAGTTACCTCTGTCAGTATGCGCCATGCAGTTGGATCCCATCAAAACCGTGAGCGCAGTTGATACGAGAATTCTACGACAGCATCAATCATCTGCTAGAAAAGCTGATTCTGCGTTGAGAGCGCACTCAACGTTCAATTGAAACCTTCGAATTAATCTAGCATTTGCCCAAGGTCGTCTAGGAAGAGGAATAGAACTTTTTGGTATTGTCCGCACCATGCAGCGACATTATCCACTGCACCACTAACTTATTTTTCTCAGGGTTCTCGTCATTTTTCGAATGAAGACGCCTCAAAACCACTACATTTCCAATTTTTCCCCGCATTGATT